CCCCAAAACCCCAAAACCCCAAAACCCCATATATAAAAGATAATGCAAATGATTGATGATTAATTTAATTTTGAATTTATTAGTTTTTATTTAAAATATGAAACAAAACTTTTAAACTGCTGCACTCTTGCTGCTTTTATCTTTCTTGATTTCCTCTACTATTTAGCATAGATATTTGATGGAAGAAGACGACGAAGATTATTCATAAAGACTTCCAACAAATGAAGGAGCAAAGTCAGAGAAAAAATTCCCTCCAGTAATAAAATCATACTCATGAGATATTAAACTTAATTTGCCTATAGGAAGCAGTATTGCTATCACCCAAAATGAGAAAAATTACTAACTATACACTACTATCATAGCAACCTTGTGGTGGTACTGGCAGAGGAAATGTTCATTTTATGGCAACTCCAGGCTCCCGAAACTTCATTGCTTGGAAAATAGTCCATCCTTCACCTAAAGGCAATTGCACTATTAGATTAGGTTAAGGCCCAGATGAAAATGACTTCAAAGTTTTATTCCCTCTTGATAAAAGTGCTGATAAAAAAGGATCATTCCCTTGTGGAAGAGAGGAGACTGGTCTTGATGGAAAAGAAGTTGTTTTCCCAGTTAACTTCACCTGCGATACTTGCACTTTATAATTCGAGTGGACAACTGAACTTGGGCAAATGCATATGTGCTCTGATGTTGTTATTATTGACAAGGAAATTGAAGAGTGCGCTGGAAAATGTCAAAATCTAGGTATTTGTTAGAATGGAGAGTGCAAATGTAGAAAGAGTTATTCAGGAGCTTACTGTTAATACAAAGATGTCGATTCATCACCCATTCTATATTACTTAATGGTTTTCTTGGTTCTTTTAGTTATAATCGCATGTCTATTTTATGGAGCAATCTATATAATGAAGTATATTGTAAGCAGATTTTTATTTATGATCTTAATTTAGGAGAAAAGAAGAAGGGAAGAGGAATCAATTAGGTAAAATGCAAATATAGATAATATCACAGATTATAAGTCAGGAGTACCTAGTCAAGCAGCTTCAAATCAATTCAGAAGAAGATGATTATTTTTTCAAAGTTCTCTATATAAAACTATCATCTCATTCTTTAATTATATTACCTTTAGTTAGACTTGTTTATCTTTTGCCACAGGGGTTTTGGGGTTTTGGGGAAGATCTAAGACTACTATCACAACATCAG